ACTAAGGAATTGTCTTGGTTAGATGGGCTCTGTTCATGTCTGTGAGAAACTGTATTGATTGATTATTGATGCGGAATGGCCACACCCTCTGTTGAGGCACCATCCCTTGGCAAATTGGTCCTAGGCTATATAAGAATGCCAGCTGAGCATGATCTCAAGGGCAAGCCAGCAAACTGCATTCCTCCATGGGCTCTGCTTCAATTCCTGTTTGAATTACTGCCCCAACTTCTCTCAATGATAGACTTTGAAGTGTAAGCTAAATAAACCCTTTCCTCCCCAGGATGCTTTTGTTCAGAGTGTTTTATCGGGACAACAGAAAGGAGACTGGAAGACTTAGTAACTTGAGTTCTCAGCTATTAATATTGCTCCCACTCAAGGGTCGAATGTCTGTGTGGTGTTTGATCTCTCCAAATGCAACGTGTGATAATGCATTCACAGCTAATGCTCTAGTTTTCATGCCTCCACTTTGATTTACTGAAACATCACAGGACTGGGAGAGTTGGCAGAGGACCCTAAAGGCAAAGTTGATTTCAAAGTGTCTTGAAACAAATCCCTTTCTCTCTCTCTGTGTTGTGGCTCCCAGAGCATATTTGAAGGGTCTGTGACATAGCTTCAGTTGTCAACCTGACACACTAGGGAAGAAGAAACCTCATTTGAAGAATTGCCTCCAACATATTGGCACACGGGCAGGTGTATAGAGGCATTTAATCAATTTATGTTTGTCATATAAGGACTCAGCCCACTGTGGGTGGCACCATCCCTGGGATGGTGGTCCTTGGTTCTATAAGAAAGCAGGCTGAGCAAGACATAGGGAGCAAGCCAGTAAGCAGCACTCCTCCACAACCTCTGCTTCAGTTCCTGCCTCCAGAGTCCTGCCCTGATTTCCCTCTGTGATGGACTGTGTGACCTGTAAGCCAAATAAAACTTTTACTCGCCACATTGCCTTTAGACAGTGTTTTGTCTCAGCCATGGAAAAGCAAATGAGGATAGCTGGATTCTTGATAGTTCTTTCATTCCTGCTCTTTGGGATTTGATGTGTTGTATTGATAGAGCGCCCCTCTATTCATCTGCTCCTCCCATGAGATGTGTTCTCATAGGGAAACTGTCATCTTCCTGTGTCTATAGTATTCCTTCATGGGTGGTCTGCAGTGCTCCCTTGATGGTCATCAATTTGCCTGACTTCTGCTTGTCTTAAAATGTTCATATTTCTCCCTCAGTTTTACAAGGCATAGCAACTTTGGTTAAGGGTGATTTATTTTAGTGACTGAAATTTATTATTTATTCCATGCTTTCCTGGCTTTTATGGTTGCTGATAAGATATCCAGTGTTACTGTGATGTTTCTGCCTTTGTTATGTGAGATGTGATTTGTTCACAACAGTTTTTCAGTGTCTAACTTTGTGTTTTTTATTTTTTACTGTGATGTGTCATGGAGAGATTCTTTTCATCATATCTGTTTGGCTTTCAAATATCTCCTGTGTTTACATATCCATCTCTTTCTCAAAGTCTGGGGAACTCTCAGCTATAATTCCATCAATTTAATTATCTATGCCCTTTAGACTTTGTTCATGATCCTTTCTCTACCTCAGGGATTCTTACATTGGTCTCTTGAATGTTTCTAAGAATTCTTGTACAATTTTGTCATTTGTGTTGATTTTTCTTTCTTGTATATGTTTCTACACACTATCTCAGCCTTGTCCACTTGTCTTGAAACCCACTCCTCTGACCAGGCTTGTCTGTGTCCAATGCTTTCTATTGTCTTTTCTTTTAATTTTATTGATCAATTATTTCATATCCAGAATTTGTGATTCTATTCCAGGGTCTCGATCTCCACATTGACTTTTTCCTTTGTGTGTTCAAATCCTCACTCCAAGGTACCAAGCATTTCATCCCTTTGGTCTTGTCTGGGTCCTGAGTGAATCTACTTACCTCATTCAACTGCTCATTGGCGTCTTCTCATGGTCCTTAATTGGTTTTTAAAGTAAGACTCTGATATCTTTTTCTGGAATTTCAACTATTTCATTATCTTTGTTTTCTGGTATTGAGATGTCAGATTGTGAAATGTAATCCTGCATTGCTGGCTCCTGGCTTTTGTTCACTGCTTATGATTTACTCAGTTGTTAGGGATATGGTGTTCTTTTATTAGTTGTATTTTTTCTTTGTTTTATTTTAATTTACTTTTCCCAATTGTGGTGATTAAACCCAGAGCCTTACAATTCCTAGGCAAGGACTCTGCCACTGAACTCTGCCACTGTTTTCTTCTATGTGAGTCTTGTGATGGGTTGTCTTGTCTTGTGTGGATTTAGGTTGGAGGTGGAGCTGACACCAGTAGCACATAGAGTGGGTTGACAGTGGTCCCAGGAATAGTAACAGCATTGGAGGACACTTGTGACCTCCACCTGCATCCTCTAGAGTCTTCAGATACAGTATCACTGGGGTTCCTATTGCAAACAAAACAACTACAGAAAAAAAAACCCACAACTTGATTTATAGTATTTTTAGAACTAATGGCCTCAATATTTAAGTAGTAAAGTAAAAAAAGGAAGAGATAAGAGGGAAAGCAGAAGTATTTTAAAAATGAGAGGAGAGAGTGTGGTTAGATACACAATGAATGCCAGGAAGAATATTGTGTATTGGGTGTAGAGGAAAAAAGGGAAAACAATGCAGGCTTTTCCAGTGAGACAGATACAAATTAAAAAACAATGAATAACCAAAAGACAGTAGTGGACATTCTATGAACCTTACTTAAAAATCAGTTCAAATTAAAATAATAAGGGTTGGAGAGAGGGCTCAGTGGGTGAAGCTCTTGTTGCCAAGGCTTACAACCTGAGTCCTGGCCCCAAGGAGTATGTAGTGAAAGAACCTGCCCCTGAACTTCCATTGACTTCCACATGTGCCCCCCCCCCTCTCTCTCTCTCTCTCTCACACACACACACACACACATACACACACACACAAATAAATGTAATTCAAAAATAATAATAAACAAAATAATTAAATTAAGCAATTAAAATCAAATGGATAATAAAATAACTATGCATGGGTATACATCTTTACTTCCAGTATTCAGACAGCAGTGGCAGGTGGATCTCTGAGTTTGATGCCATCCTAGTCTACATAGAGAGTTCCAGACTGTCCAAGGCTACACAGTGAGATCCCTCTATAAAGAAATATAACGGAAGATAGTGCACCCTTAATCAGAATCTCCTGCTAGGGAGATGTGCTTTCTCTGATGCTAACCGGGTGGGGCTGCTGGTGTCAGGCCTTCAAATGAAGTCAGAGACCACTTCCAGCCATAATTCCCTCTCTGATTTCCTCAGGTTGGAAATTACATCCCATCTCTGGTGCTTTGGGGTTGATCCAAGTAGTGCAGGGCTTTCTGTACCTGAGGCTTTAAGGATTGTGGAAGAGCCACTGTGTTTGCCCTTTCCAATCTATTAGATTAACTGTAGCACATCCCACCATATATTTCCCATGCTCCTGTAAGACTTCAGAGATGAGGGTGGGTGTTAAGGAGGTGGAGGGTGTTGAGAAAACCACCCTAACCATCTTCCTGTTGCTGTCACCTCTGTGTGTGCTGTTGACCATCTACAGCATCCATCAGGACTCTGCACTGAGTTCTACTTGCACTTCTACCAGCTCTGGGTTTTTCCTGTCCAGGAGGTAAGTGATGGAGATGGACTATGCACTTTGGATCTCCCTACTTTAGACTCCTCTAGCTATCTTCTGGTGCCCTGTCCACAGCCTACTGTGCTCTGCCCACTCCACCCTCACCACCCCAAATATTGAATTCAGATTCTGGCTTGAGTTTCCAGCATCCAAATGCCAGGCTCTAGTGATAGCTGGTACCCACTTCTTGAATACATCCTTTGAGAAGGATCTAACCCAGTAAGAGCATCTTGGTATGGAATGGGGTAGGGGTACCTTTTTCTGTCTTTCTTGTTTCTGTTCTCTGTGGATCTTTCTCTTTTTTCTGTTTTGGTGGCTTTTATCTTGGCTTTTGTTCATCCAGTCTCATGATCTCCAATCAGTCACCTTAACCTTGTGTGTTCACAGTGGCTCTTTCTGAGCTTCCAAGTGAGCGATTACATGTTTGGTGGTATCATCAACATGTTTCCATAAACTGGGTCCTCTGAAAAACACTGCTGATGATAACAGTAAATGTCAGTGTTCAAAGGCACTTCTGTGAAGATGTAAAACTTGGGTCACTGGATACATATCTGCTCACTAATGTTCCTCTAAGAGCCCCTCTCAGACAACCCCTCTGAGCTCTCACCTACCCCTCTTTCATCTTCCCCTCAAGAGAGGCTGACATGAAACCATTTTCTTTCTCACCTGTCACATAGAAGAGCAGACATTGTACTAGAAAGAAACTTTGAAGAGACAGAAGTAGCCAGTTAATGAAAGTAGCAAGGGTTGCTAAAATAGTTCTGGCCATCTAGCCTGGATCCATTTCCAGAGGTGTGCTTATGGGAACTAAGATGTCTAGAAGCTAGCATTTGTCACAACCACTCCTGTCTCCAGGTGATAGCTGATGACATCTCCATGTTTATCAGCAGTGGGCTGATCCCTGAGCCCACACTCTTGCCTGTCTTCTGTTTCTCTGCAATTCTGCATTACCATCAGTAGAACACAAGGCCATGCACCCTTAAAATTCTGTGCATCTGACAGAACGGGCTGTGACTTTGAGATAAGACCAATATAAACAGTGTAGATGTTTCTAGAAGTCAGGGAAAGAGCCATTCTTGGTGGGAAATGGGTCAGAGAGTGTTTAGAGAATGCAGCCACCAACCTGGGGATGCTAAATAGCTCAGAAGAAGAAGGATACCCTTAAATGATAATGTCAGAGCCCTGGAAAGAACTGGCAAGCATGCAGATGGTGGCTTGTCCTTAAATTGCTCAAGGCTTAGAACACACAAGCAGAGTTGCTGGTGAGAATGCACACTGATGCATCTACCTCGCAGTTGCTCACCTCTGTTTTCTTTCTTTCCTACTCCATAGTGTGGATGACGCCTCCTACGAAGTCATGCAGATCGACATTGAGATCGAAGGACCCAGTGACCCACCCTCCACACAGCTTGTCACGTGGCAGGTTGAATACCCAGGAGACATCACATCTGACTTGGGAGTGTCCAAGATCTATGTGAGCCAGAAGGACTTGATTGGGGTCATACCACTGGCAATGGTAAGAGAGCACCTGGGGAACTGGGAATGGGAAGGCTCCATGCTGCGATCCAAGCTTAGGAGTCAAGGATGCCAGTTAGCAAGGACCAAGATAGGGACCAAATGGGAGCTTGAAGCATGCTGCCAGTAGCCAACCATATATATTCTAACTAATATTCTTTAAATTCCATTAGTTAGTAGTTATGGGTCTATCTTTATATGAATATTATGAATGATGGGTTGAACATGCATGATATAATGTACATGACTTAAGAATTTCAGACATGTGCAACTGTACAGGGTGCTTGCTTTAATTGTGCATGTGCTCACACTGGGCTCCCTATTCAACAATATCACAGTGGCGTAGACACTGCCACATGGGACAAGTAGAACAGGTTTGGGGAGGTAATGGGGTATTCCTGCAAGAAGTACTTATATCCATGAGAAAAGAATAGGATTCCAGGAAGCACTAATGTTGGTTCTGAGGGTCTGGTGTCTCCCACTGGCATTAGCCACCTTCCTGGAAAGCAGGAAAACAACTCAATTCTGGTCTCCATTTACAAGTCATGTGTCTTAGTTTTCTGTTTATTGCCATGATAAATTCCAGGACCAAAGAAAACTTGGGGAAGAAAGGGCTTATTTTACTTACAGCTTACAGTCTGTCACCAAGGGAATTCAGGACAGGAACCCAAAGGCAGGAACCAAAACAAAGGCCAAACAAAAACCAAAACATGGAGGAATGTTTCTTACTCTCTTGCTCCTCATGGCTTGCTCAGCCTGCTTTCTTAGATCATCCAGGACCACCTACCCAGGCATGGCACTACCCTGGGATAGTGGTATAGACCTTCCTCCATCAATCATCAATCAAGAAAATGACCCTCAGACATATCCACCAGGCCAGTCTGATGGAGGCATTGTCTCAATTGAGATTCCCTTTTCTCAAAGACTCTAGCTTGCCTTAAGCTGACAAAAGACTAACCAGCATACCATGTAAGCATATATTACTTGGTCCTCAACTACTTTTCTTTTAGAGGGTAGACAAAAATCACAGCCAGTAGGTAGTTGTGAGAATGAAATAGTCACTGGACCTGTGGCTGGAACTTAGTGGTGAAATGCTTGCCTGGAATGTGCCAGGACAGGTTTCAATCCCCACCCCAACAAAGCTTAAGCTGAATGAATGAATGAATGAATGAATGAATGAATGAATGAATGAATAAGTAACCCATGGGTCCTCACAAGAACTCCAGCCTCTTGCAGACATATAATAAATATTAGCTACTATTATGATTCTTCTGTTATTGACAACAAGATACAAAGGACACTACAGAAGTCTGTACATTCTCTAAGGAAAACACCTGTTCAGAGCCCTGTTCTTCATAGTCAAAAAGCCAGGCAGCAGGCAAGCATCACTGGTCCTTGGACTAGACTGACTTAATTAGATTTAAATACTTCGGGTTTGATGTGTTCCCAGCAGTCTCTCTGCGAGGTCACCTGTGAGCCCAAGAGAAAGTTCTGAGATCTGACTCCCCCTGTCTTGTATGTGGGGAATTTGGGGGTTCATGCTTGTGGGTTGATAAAGCAGTACTTCCCATGGAAGGGTGTTAGCATTATGAAATGGCCTTGCTTCTGCTAAATTGTATGCTCATTGAGGGATAGCTGGTAGAGAAACAGAGATCTGTAGACCAAGGTGAGATTTGAAGTTAGAGGCATGCATGCCGGGAGGGGGCTTGACAAGTTGGGGGTCTGATGCTGTGGGAAGCCACAGAATGGAGGATCAAAGGGAAATGCCTAGATTTATTTGTTTTTGTTTTTTTCGGGAGCATTCTGGCTACATGTATAGAAAAAATTGTAAGGCAAAGGGGAAACAGAAGGTTAGGGCCTGTGCTCTACAAAAGACCTTGTCATACTGGTCTGCTGGGCTTGGTGTCTGCTCTAGCTAGCTTTGTTCTGATTGTGTGCCCAGAATGGAGCATGTCTGGTGACTCAGTAGCTTGGATGTTGCATCTGGTAGCATACATATCATTATCCCTGTGACCCCAAATTAATAACAATCATATTGGGACTGGAGGGATGGCTCAGCCATTAAACTTGCATACCACTCCTGTGAAGAATTGGAGTTCAGTCCCCCAAACCCACAAGCATCTCAACAACCTTGAACTCTACAAAAACCATGTCCACCTTGTATCCAGCAGGCTGAGGCACCAGAGATGAATGTGATCTTTTACAGAGTAAAATAACACTTCCCAGCCATCTTCTAAGCCAAGAACTCAGATATGTGGCAAGGGAGACTGAGCAGCGTGAACTTCCTTCTCAGAAGCAGTCTGCCTGGGTAGGTGGACAAAACAGTGAAAGAAGGAAGGAATGCCCAAGGCTGCTTCTAACCCAGTGAGCTGTTCCAGTGGTGGGAAAGCAAACAGCCAAGCCATTCTGAGACACAAGCTCCTGATATGTTCTCAGACATTCATCTGCATTGAAATGCAGATGGAAAAAAGACAGCAATAAACCATGTGCCTAAAAATCCCTTCCAAACACTATAAAGATGTTTTTGATCCTATAATATATTATGGTTTGTGTTTGGATATAGAAATCTTTGCACGTATCTCCCATCGATCCCTTGAGGTAAACTTTTAGAAATAAATTTTAATTTAAGGGTTTGAGTCAGAGGATATGTAATTTGTAATACATTTTTGTAATGTCTGTAGAATTGCCTTTGGGAAGTTTTAACTAATTTACAATTCTTACCTGCTGTGTGTAAAGATACCCATTTCCCTGCAACTTTTCCAACAGAGAATATTAATTTTTTTCAAATAGACAATTTATTAAGCAAACATCTTATCTCAGTGTCTCCTTAATTTGCCCTACTTGGGTTACATTTTTATTTCATTATTAAATATTTGTCCTTTGCCCATTTTATTGTCCTACTGGGAATTCAACTTTTTTTTTTCTAAAGCTAAAAAGTTGTACAAAGGGGAAGGGGAATCACATTTTAAGTGTAGGGCTTGCTGTCATTAGCTATTCCTACATTCTTGTGTAACAGAACTGAACCTCTAGGCTCACTAAGTCTAAATCTACTTTCTCCTATGTATTAGTGATATCCATTTTTTTTTTGTTGACATGTCACATAAATTCTTACCAATTTGCTGTTTGCCTCCTAATTTCACACATTGAGGGGTGCAGAGGATTTTGTACCACACACACACACACACACACACACACACACATCAGGTCCTCCGGCAGTAAAGGATGTGGGAAGGGCAGATCCAGCCAGTCATTTCCCAGGGCTGAGTGGGATGGTGAGTGTCGACGACCCAGATCCCCCTCCTAGTCCCGGAGAGAACCACACACTGAGTCCAGAGACTTGCCGAAACACAGTCTTGTTTCATTGCATCAGGCATGCTCTTAAATAGAGTTGAGAAAGTGGGTGGGGACTTCAGGAAGGGGTGAGGTGTAAGGGCCAATAATATTTTATCATGTTAGCACTAGCTGGGCAAAGGCAGTTTTGCTGAGACAGGTTGCCAAACTCTAGCCAGGCTCAGGAAGTTCCACTAGGCCTTGTGTCTGGGCCTATTATATATATCCTGGGAAGGAACCCAACACCTTGCTTTTGCTGAGCAAGTGCTGGGTGTCTGAGCCATGCCCACAGTCCCTCACTGGGGGATTCTAGGCAGATGATCTACCACTGAGTCATACCCCAGCCCCTCACTGGGAATTCCAGGCAGGTGCTCTACTGCCAAGCTATGCCCCTAGCCCTTGTTTAATTTTTAATGTGGTCAAATCTATCGATCTTTTTCATAATTAAAATCTCTCATCTTCTCCTAATGAATTCTAAGAGGAAAATGCACACCTGCTTTATTTGTTCTTACAAAGCCTGGAATAATACAACGCCCAACACAGCACATCCAAATGAGCAAAAGGAACACCAAAATGGTGCTGAAGGCAGGTGCCACTGTGACAGCAGGAAAGGCAAAGGTCAGGCCCCTGCTTCTCAGTGGCTCTGTAATTGCACCTCCAGGAAATCTTTAAACTGAGACAAAGTCTCCTCCATGTCCAGGGTATTGAAAGCTTCTGTACTCTCTTAATCTTATCATGCATTTCTATGAGTTTAATTTTTGCTATTCAAGAACTCACGCTTGGCTGCATTGAAGGTGAAGTGTGTTCCTCCCTCCTCAGGGAGGGAAATTCTTAGAGAAAAGCTCATTAAGCATGCATCTTTCTGTTCAGTGCATGGTGACCACACAGCAGGGTATGGTATGAGGCATATTGTTTGCATTCTCAGAAGAGCTGGGAGACTCCTTCATGGCACATGGCTTCAGGATGGTGGCTACTTCTTATAGTTACCTCCTGAACTTGGGGTACAACTAATTCTGAGCTTATTCCAAGCTTCAGAGACAGCGACTCTGAACTTCAGCCTGAACTTCTGAGCTGGGGATGCAATGCCAGTGAGTCCTTAAAAACTTACTAGTAAGTGCTCTTTATAATCCAATGAACCCTTATTTCCACTCCTTTGGGGAAGCGGCTGTTTTGAGTGCTGTCATTGTGGGTGTTGCTGTCAGCTCAACACATGGATGAGGGGCTTAGTCAACTCTTTTCTGGGATTGGAAAAAAAGAAAACCAAGTATCCCCCATCAATTCCCTAACCAGGTTCTAGTTTTGCTTCTGTCTCAGCTTCACCTCTGAAGTTTTAATACTGATTATTATTGATCTGGGGCTTGAGATGAAACTCAACCCAGAGATAACAGTTGGGACAGATAGTGTGGAAGTGATGTCTCATGGTAGTTGCATTGATGGTGCAGAGGATTTTACACACACATACACACACACACACACACACACACACACACACACACACACACACACACAGGTACAGTAACCACAGAGGCCAGAAGGTCCCCTGGAACTGGAGTTATGGATGTTTGTGAGCCTCCAAGTGGGTGCTGGAAATCAAACCAAACTCCTCTGGAAGAGCAGCCATTGCTCTTAACTGCTGAGCCATCTCTCCAGCCTCCCAATTTCCTCCTGTGG